AAGTCAGGGAGGCCAAGTAGAGGGATATTTAAAGGCAAACGACCCAATTCCTATACATTGTGCAGTGGAAAAGGCCCGTGTGGCTTATGGGCTGCTGATGCAGAGGCGTGTCATTACAAGTCGTCCCCTTCTACATACGCACTGCTAGTGCAACTCCATCTGAAGTATTGTCTTCAGTCCAGGGAACCTCACTACCAGAGGCATAAAGACAAGATCGAGGAGTTCAGCGAGAGGCAACAGAATGGCCATGAGGTTGGAAGGGCTCCTTTATGCGAAGGTTAAAAGAGCAAAATATGTCTAGCTTTGCCAAGGGATTCCTGGGGTGGGAATCTAAGCCTTCAAACATTTGAGCATGTACATGCTGAGAAGGGCGAGGAATTATTGAGGGGGTGGTTCAAAGGAGTACAATAACATCACCTAGCTCCTACATAGCACTTTTTTCCTCCGTTGATTTCAAAGTGCTTTCCCGAGCAGGTCAGTATGGTTGTTCCCATTTTACACACGGGGAAGCCAAGGCATGGGGACAAGAAGAGTTGCCCAAGATCATCCAGCAGGCCAGTAACAGAGATGAGACTAGAACCCAGTTCTCCTGAGTCCTGGTCCGGTGCTCTGCCCACTGGGCAGCACTGCCCCTGAATGAGGCTAGTGCGGCGTAATGCCGATTGGAAAGAAAAGAGGAGGGTATTGTGCTGAATGTTGTGGGGAGGGAAGAAATTCCTGCCAGCGAGAGCTCTTAGACTTTAGACTAGTCACCTGGCCAGTGGTGGCAGCCCCCGAAGGTTTTGAAAATTTAAGACTAAACAAGAATATGCACTACATATTGTAGAGAAGGATCCTGCACTAGCCGTTGGGGTGGGGGAGATGGGTTGATCGATTTCTCCGGCGCTCATTTCTATGACTTTGTGAATGTGCTTTCTAATCCTCCTCAGAGCAGGAAGCCCAGTCTAGGGGTCACAACAGAGGGCTGAGCGCTAGAACTTCCCAGAAGTAACACCAGCCTCCTGTTTGGCCTTGGGCAAGTCCCTTAACCACCTGAGTACAATGGGGATAATTATTGCCACTCTCCTAAAGGTGATGGATGGAATAATTAATGCATGATTAAGACAAAAACAGTCAGTAGTATAAGAAATACATGAAGGCTGATGGAATGCAGCCTGGTTAATAACACCTAGCTCTTTTTGTGCTTTTCATCAGTAAAGATCAAAGCACTTTACAAAGCAGGTAAGCGTCATTATCCCCAGCAATGGGGACACAGAGGTGAGCTGACTTGCTCCAGGTTATCCAGGAGGTGAGTGGCAAAATCAGGAATAAAAGGGTTCCAGAGATCCAGTCCACTCACCACACTATATTCTATATTGGATATAAAACCTGAGTGTGTTTCCTTAGCTGCATTGTCTAACGTGCACATGTCTGTGTGTGTGTGTGCACATGTATGTATGTATGTATGTATGTATGTATGTATGTATAGGTTTGTACATTCCAATGCCAGAAGGGACCATTGTGATCATCTAGTCTGACCTCCTGTATAACACAGGTCACAGAACTTCCCCAAAATCATTCCTAGAGCAGATCCTTTAGAAAAAAACATCCAATCTCAATTTGAAAATTTCCAGCGATAGAGAATCCACCAGGACCTTTGATAAATTGTTCCTATGGTTAATTACTCTCACTGTGGAAAAAATTACCCCTTATTTCCAATCTGTTTTTGTCTAGCTTCAACTTTCAGCCCCTGGTTCATGTTACACTTTTCTCTGCTAGACTGAAGAACCCATTTTCAAATATGTGTTCCTCACGTAGGTACTTATCGATTGTAATCAAGTCACCCCACTAACTTTCTCTTTAAGCTAAATGGATTGAGTTCCTTGAGGCTCTCACTATAAGGCATGTTTTCTAATCCTTCTCATGGCTCTTTTCTGAACCCTCTCCAATTTGCCAACATCCTTCCTAAATTGGGGGTACCAGAACTGGACACAGGATTCCATCAGCGGTCGCACCAGTGCCAAATACAGAGGTAAAATAACCCCTACTTGAGATTCCCCTGTTTATGCATCCGAGGATTGCTTTTGGCTACAGCATTGCACTGGGAGCTCATGTTCCTCCCAAATCTTTTTCAGAGTCGCTGCTTCCCAGGATAGAGTCCTCCATCCTGTAAGTATGGCCGACATTCTTTATTCCCCAAATTGACTTACATGTATAATCTGTCTCTTACACATCACTGAGGATTTCCTAAATGGGATCAGAATCAAGCCCGTGGTTTGCAGCTGGCAGTGGGCCTTGGATTTCCCATTCTAACCAGAGGCTCCAGTGATGTAATAGAGGGAGTTATCATAAATCCCTTGTCTAAATTCCACCACCAGATTAAAGGGAGGTTTGGGGCTGATTGCCCTGTCTCTGACAGCATTCAGCCCTTCTCTGGGTAGCTAAATCATCCCAGCTAGGTGTGATTTGTATCCACAGGGCTCATTTAAAAAAATAATCTCTGAAAAGCAATTTTGTTGCCTTTGGCCTGCACCGGTGTCAGGGATTTTAGAAAAAACAATGCCCTTGGGAAGGTTATCCCAGGATTCCTCTGCAAGGTCTTCACCCTCTGTTTCATATTGCACAGCTTCAGCGGGGTGCTCTGTGGGTGTGTAACATGTATGAATGAAGAATGAAGTTCAAGCGTTTCCAGCACACGGCACTTAAATCAAGTGTCTTTGCCAAGTGGTTAGGCCTCCCTTCTTGGCTAGGGTTAAGAGAGCGTGTTTGGATTTTAAGTGGCAAAACCAGTTAATAGATTCCTTCCTGCATCCTCCCTCGTCTTTGCAAGGCGTGCACACACAGACCCCAGGGGTTATCATAAAGGTAAAGGGAAAGGAGGAGAGACACATCTGGGGAGTGCCTTGTTAAAATACAGGTGACCTATCACTAGGGCCTCTTGTAATTCTGGAGGCAAAATGTCACGTGACACAGATGCTGCCCCACATACCATGCGACAAGATGGGGCACTGCCCCATTTGCCACCTGTAAACTCAGTGTTACTCTCGGTGCCAGTGCTGGCTTAACGCTAGTGTGATTCTCCATTGACTTCAGTGGAGTAACTCCTGGCTTACAGAGGTGCAGCGACATCAGAATCAAGCCCATGGATTTCAGCCAGTGATGGGCCTCCCCGACTTGTGACTCTAGAGGGCAGCAGGGAGCTGCTGTATGGCTACATCTGGGGGGATTGTCTGCTTCCTCAACGGCCCTAGCTGCTGATGGAGATGAAGATCAGTGACCTGTAGCTGGATTTCTTTATGGTGCATTACTGAAAATGTGCTATGCCACCAGGGATGCCCCCCCCTTTTGGGGGGTGGGGGTGGATTTTGGTTTGGTGGCCAAAAACTATTTCAGAAACATGGTATTGTATATGGCCTGTAGCAACTAAAGGTCCCATAGCATTTTTTTTAAATAGGAAAGGAATGTTTATGTTGGTATCCTGGCAAAATTCCCATATGGGTAACTACATTCTATCTACCCCAAAATTCCCCATGCAGCGTCAGCTGGATGTAGCCCTGATTTGTTGTGTAGCGTGGTTATGCACTGTTATAACAGTTCCCATGTTCCACTCCAGAGACAGCTGCATTGTTTGTTCTGGTAGATACATAATTGACAAAGTGCTTTGGAATGGAGGTAAATTTAAGGTATTAATCTAGTAAAGAGAATGATTTGCTATGCTGGAGAATGTTTCAATTATTTCTCCCCGTGGGTTCCTCCCCAAATTGGCTTGTTTGATAATCTTGGTCCAAGAAAACTCTAGAGAGAAGAGACTTCTTGCTTCTGCTCCAAGGTGGTTGTGGATCTGACTTCTCTTTCATCAGGAGCAAGGACTCTAGGAAAAGCCCCTTCTCCCCCCTATCTCCATGCCTGGAGGCTTCCCAGCTCTGATCTGAAGGGACTTACATTTCACCCCTATACTGAGGGAATGATGTCTCTAATTTCACCTCCCTTCCTCTGCCGAGGCTGAGTATCATTTCATAAAAATAACACAGAAAGCAACTAGGCTCTGGGAAAAAAATAATTATGGGAAAAACAAATCCGTGCCAAAGGGGCTTTTGTGAACATATCAGGTTTGGAGAGAAAGCTGCTGAGTTTGGGACATGCGCCCTTCTGTCCTTTCGCTGGGCAGGCTAGGGCTGCAATACAATCTCAAGCATGTTTATTTCCTTTCAAACCTCTGGCTTCCCATGGAAATGCTACCCTCCCCCATTTATTAGGAAGGGTTTGGGTATCTTTTTCCCTCTTTGTGTTTAGTGTGTGGGGGGGACGACACATTATTATGCTTTATTTTCTCAAGAGTTTTCTCTCTCAGCCCTGTTTTTTTTATGTGCTCCCAAACATCATCACTTGAGCCGTCTGCCTCTGCTAGCCCCTTTATCCCACTCTTTAATCTCATCTGTAGACTGCAGAATTTGCAGGGCAGGTTTGTTTGATCATTTATTTGTAAATTCCTCCATGCAGGGCCTCATGTCTGTCTGTCTCTCTTGTAAAGCAGCGTGTGTACGTTGATGGCACTAACAATAAATCTGTAGGAGAGGGAATTTTGATCTCCTTACTCTGTCAATCCTTGGTCTCTCTGTGGAGATAGTGCCATTTGTGATGGGAGTTCATGTGATGTGGATGTGCATTCATTAGGAATTGGACAGTGACTCACCAGCTGACTTCATGCCAGGCTCAACAAATGAGGGGTAATAACTTTTGGTTAGGAGGCCAGATTTGAACCACCAAACTAGAGAGGAAAGGGTTCATGTTTTATTAGCAATCTACCAAGTCAGCATAGTCACGCCTCCGTAATGATTAGCGCTGATCAGAAATGTTCGGATGCAACAGTTTAGTTTGAAAATGCCAATTCATAGAACCCACAGTGTTTCTTGGAACCATCTTGGATTTAATGGACTTTCAGCAAATCAAAGGCAGGGTTCCATGGGAAATTTGCGTGGTTTCCTGCCAACTCACCGGGTGGGCTGCTGGGGGAGCTGCTTCTTCCAGTTTCCAGGCTCTCTGCCATGGAGTAGGAAGTGTGGAAGTCCTGGGATGAGCTCCCACAGTCCATGGGTGTGGGACTCAGGGGCCAGCTATCCAGCAGCTGCTGAGTGAAATTGACATTTATTACTGAGACAAGGTGGATGAAGTAATATCTTTTGCTGGACCAACTTCTGATGGTGAGAGAGACAAGCTTTCATTACTGCTAATACAGAACAAAACCACATTTTGAAATAACAAAATTTCCTGTGAACCGGAAATCCCACATTTCAGCCAGCTCTAATAAAGATGCAAGGTAAGCATGCACTGATGCAATCTAATGGCCCCAAGATGCAAAGTTTGCAGATATCAGCATTTCTTATGCACCTCCTGTGGTAATAACGATGTTAATGCAAAAAATTAAATTGGACTTACCAGTCAAACAGGATGACACTTTTGTTGGGGAGGCTTAAAGGGTTGTCGGCGTTCTCCTGGAACTGGACAAGAAAGGTCAGTTTCTTGGAGGGCAAAGAGGGATCAGTGCCAGTTTAGTCTGGAAGGGTAAGAGGCTGAAATCTCTACAGTTAGCTGCTAATAAATAAATTTGATCTGGAGTGAAAGGCTGGGAATAAGAAGGTCTCTAACCATGAGAGGAGGGAGATTTTTGGAACAGCCTCCCAATAGGAATAGAAGGGGCAAGAAACCTACCTGGTTTTACGATGGAGCTGGCTAAATTTATGAATGGGTTTATATGATGTGGATGCCTTCAATAGCAAGGGACTGGACTCTATGACTCAGGAGGTCCTTGCCAGTCCTATGTTCTTATGAATGGAAAAACGCCTAGCAGTGAACCTCAAAGAGTTGAAGGCTTATTTGGGCCCCAGAAGTTTGGATGAATCTCTGCATACTGCGGTGTCAGGATCGAGGTTTCGGGAGGACAGCCTTTCTCAGGGCATCTTGAAATGTAAGTAGGCGTGTGAGGAAGCTAACTAAACACTTCTGAACCTGAACATCAAACCAGTTCTAGTATGGGGAGTAAAGGTCCAATACGTTTTCTCTGATGCAGCCAGCTCATGTATCTGTCTCTTTCATTGTACTGGAATTGCAGAATCTTACTAGCTAGAGATGGAGAAGACCAATAAGATTCCATTCAGCCCAGTTCCCAGAGGGCCAGTGCAGGTATGTTTTTTTTTTTCTTTTTCTCAAGTGAGTAGTCTGGTCTGGTTTTATGTCTCACATGCTGGGTTTCTACCACTTCCCTTAGGAGACTGTTCCGCACCCTCCTCGCGCTCATTATTAGGGAGAATATTTCCCCTAATATTCATTCATTATCCCCCCTTCTTAATTTCATCCCAGTTACATATTAGTTGCTAAATAAGGTCAAGCAGCACCAGCCAAAACTAGTTGAATTGCATAAAATAGGGCTAGGCTTGGGGTTTATTGCAGATCTCATGCCAGGTAATGTTCTCTTTAAAGCTCCAGCTGCTGGAGTCAAGTGACTATGTTAGAATCTCAGCTTTCATTAAAAAAAGTATTGAATTCTCCTGGTTGCAGAGAGAGGCCTGAACGTGCGGTCAAGTGCACCCGAGAGGTTTGGAAACCAGAAGTCAAACAAAAGACCCCAAATGTACAATTATTTTGGTAAGTCTCATGATTTTTAAGCCAATCTCCTGACTTTTTGGGGGGCCTGACTCAAAATAGTTGAATGTGGGGGTTGGTAATACTGGGGCTCTCAGAGTGGGGTGGGAAGAAGTGATCCTAAAATCGAGGGTATGTCTAGACTGCAATCAGAGGTATGACTGCAGCTCCAGGTAGGCACCCACTCTAGCTAGCCTGGCTTAATTATAGCGGTAAAGATGCAGCAGTGAAGGTTTCCCTATGGATTGTACAAGCCCACCTGGAAACGTACTTGCTTTGCTAGCCCATACTGGGGTCCGTGCTGCTGTGTTTTCACTGCCATTTTTAGCCATGTTGGCTAGGTCAAAGTTAGCACAGGTACACCTGTAAGAACTGCAGTTTGCACTTCCGATTGCAGTGTAGACGTCCTCTCATAGAATCATAGAATATCAGGGTTGGAAGGGACCTCAGGAGGTATCTAGTCCAACCCCCTGCTCAAAGCAGGACCAATCCCCAGACAGATTTTTGCCCCAGATCCCTAACTGGCCCCCTCAAGGATTGAACTCACAACCCTGGGTTTAGCAGGCCAATGCTCAAACCACTGAGCTATCCCCCCCGCGAGTGTAGCAATCCTCTGCCCTGCAAATGATGGCTCTGTGTGGTACTCAGCACCGTGCTGAGGCAGGTCAAACAGCAGCTGAGATGGTATAGCCGTGCCCTAGCCGGAGGCTGCAGTGAGCAATACCCACTCCTCCCCTCTCTGCTCCTTCCCTTCCCCCTGGGGCTGACAGCTGAAGCTAAGCTGTCAATATTTGTTTACAGCTCTCTCTTCCCCATACCTAGCAGGTCCTGTCAGCCCAGGGAGCGCCACTGTTGTCAGTGAAGCGCAGCGGAAACTGTCCATCTGTCTGAATTAAACAGCACGGACGTGTTGATCTATGGAGGGCAGATTCTGCGTCTCCAGCATCCTGGTTGAGCTGGTCCAAGCGGGGGATTGTTTTCTGAACAAACACATTAGTGTGTCTTTGTTTCTCTTAGCCAGAAGGTGGCCTCAAGAAAGTCAGCTTCACACTCTCAGCCATTAGATAAGCGGCGAAAGGGTGGGTTTTTTGCTGCCTCCCTTTCATTAATCTCCTTGCTTTGTCTCCCCATCAACCCCTGCCTTTCTCTGTCTCTTTTCAGTCTCATGTCAGTCCTTGGTGTTCCCATCCCTCCCTGAGCTGGCTGCAAAATGAAGATAAGCGCTGGACTGGGAGCCATATAATAATAATACTTCGTGCTAGAGTGGGTCAGAAATGGGTGTCCCTCCCCCACCCCCACAACAGGAAAATTTAGACTTTTTGTTGACACATCAAAAACCGCAAAAGAGAATGTGGCTGAAAACTGCTAAAAAAAAAATGAGGGGGAGAAATGGGGTTTTGTGTTCGTTTTTCCAACCAACCAAATAAATAAATCCACATTTTTTTCTGTAGAGACTTCCATTTAGTCAAAAACCCAATTTCCCATCCAAAGACGTTCCAGCTGAAAACTTTCACCCACCCCGGCACAGCTCTTACAAATCACCTTTTATCCCTGGATCTTGGAGGGCTGCCTCTGAGAATTAGTTTGCCCAGTCCAGTGCATCCTATGCGTCTTCATTCCTATGCTGGTCAATCCATGAGCAAATCTGTATTTGTGATTATATTTGCATTCCAGTAGGAGTTAGAGGCCCCAGCCTCACGTGCTAGGTGTTGCACTCAGATAATCCCTCCTCTGCTTGCTTTTTCTGCTCTCTGTTCATGTCCGTCTTCATTTGACCCTGCAAGTCAGTGGAAGTGAATAAGCCACGGGATTGACTACATGGTGTCAGTTTACTCGTGGATAAAACTGAACTGAGGCTCAGGAGACCTGCGTTCTAATCCTAGCTCTGACTTTAGGAAAGTCACTTCACCTCCCTGGGCCTCAGTTTCCTCATCTTTAAAATCCGGTAATGATTCTGCTCTCCTTTGTAAAGTGCTTTGAGATCTACGGGTGTGGAGAAAGTAAATAAGGAAGTGTTATTTACTCCTTCTCATAACGCAAGAACTAGGTGTCACCCAATGAAATTAATAAGCAGCAGGTTTAAAACAAACCAAAGGAAGTATTTCTTCACACAACGCACAGTCAACCTGTGGAACTCCTTGCCAGAAGATGTTGTGAAGGCCAAGTTTCAAAAAGAACTAGATGAAGGTCCTGGAGAATAGGTCCATCAATGGCTATTAGCCAGGATGGGCAGGGGATGGTGTCCCCGGCCTCTGTAAACTGGGAATGGGTAACAGGAGATGGATCACTTGATGATTACCTGTTCTGTTCACTCCCTCTAAAGCATCTGGCACTGGCCACTGTTGGAAGACAGGACACTGGGCTATATGGACCTTTGGTCTGACACAGTATGGCCGTTCTAATGTTCTATCTAAGAGCTAGGTATTACTACTATTTCCTCGTGCTTCTCTGACTCTCTCTTTCTCTCTCTCTGCATCCACCTGTTATCTCTTGTCCTACTTAGAGTTTAAGCTCTTCGGGGCAGACGTGGTTTTTGTTCTGTGTTTGTACAGCACCTAGCACACTGGGGTCCTGGTCTGTGACTGGAGCTCCTACACGCTACGGCAATACAAATAAATAATAATAATAAATCCAGGTAGGCTTCTTGCTCAGATCTGGTGCTAGTGATGGCGGGAGAGGGGAAGATGGGTGTTGAGGGGTAGTGGTGTTAAGGGAGTTAGGGTTGGTGAGGTTGCATGGCTGGGTGGTCAGAAGTGCTGGGAAGAAAATGAACAGACAGTGAAAGTGGCGAGACCCACACATTAGAACTTGGTTTTACAGATTACCTTCTGAACTCCCAGCCTCCCAAAGCACACTGCACTGCACTGGATTAGATCTTGGTGATTATTTTTGATGTACCATGAGACAAGGTTCAGGCCAGGGAAGAACAATAACTTCTGACCCCAGTAAGCAATTCCTCCTGTGGCTTGAGCTGTTTGGGGGGATTTTGCAGACAGGGTCGCGATAATAGTGCTGCCTGTATTGTCCCATCCCTTGTTTTTGCACACGGGGATGCTAGAACACTTCGTGCTCATGGGATCCTTTGGCATGCCTAGTTTGCAGAATTCCAGATTGAATTTTTCTGTGGCATTGAGGCTCCGAGGTGTCCCTAGCTTCTGTTTGCCAGAAGCTGGGAATGGGCAACAGGGGATGGCTCACTTGATGATTCCCTGTTCTGTTCATTCCTTCTGAACCACCTGGCATTGGCCACTGTCGGAAGCCAGGATGCTGGGCTCGATGGACAATTGGTCTGACCCAGTCTGGCTGTTCTTACGTTGATATCATCCGGTGCTCCAGCAGTATGGATATCCCGGACCCTGACTTAACTTTCAAGTGCTTTCCATTCTCTTTCTAGCAACAGAGCTGTTCATGGGGCAAGCCCCATCATGCCTCCTGCAGTTCCAATTTCCTCAGGGCCTAGTCCAGGGGTAGGCAACCTATGGCATGTGTGCCGAAGGCGGCACGCGAGCTGATTTTCAGTGGCACTCACACTGCCCAGGTCCTGGCCACCGGTCCGGGGGGCTCTGCATTTTAATTTAATTTTAAATGAAGCTTCTTAAACGTTTTAAAAACCTTATTTACTTTACATACAACAATAGTTTAGTTATATATTATAGACTTACAGAAAGAGACCTTCTAAAAAAGTTAAAACGTATGACTGGCACGTGAAACCTTAAATTAGAGTGAATAAATGAAGACTCGGCACACCACTTCTGAAAGGCTGCTGACCCCTGGCCTACTTTCTTCTCACTGCTGGGAAACATTGAATCTAGAGGACTGGAAAGCAGATTCCCCTTTACTCCCTGTTGAGGCGACACTGCTACAGACTAGGGACCGAGTGGCTAGGCAGCAGTTCTGCAGAAAAGGACCTGGGGGTCACAGTGGACAAGAAGCTGGATATGAGTCGACAGTGTACCCTTGTCACCAAGAAGGCTAACGGCATTTTGGGCTGTAGGGGCATTGCCAGCAGATCGAGGGAGGTGATCATTCCCCTCTATTCGACATTGGTGAGGCCTCATCTGGAGGACTGTATCCAGTTTTGGGCCCCACACTACAAGAAGGATGTGGAAAAATTGGAAAGAGTCCAGCGGAGGGCAACAAAAATGATTAAGGGGCTGGAGCACATGACTTATGAGGAGAGGCTGAAGGAACTGGGATTGTTTAGTCTGCAGAAGAGAAGAATGAGGGGGGATTTGATAGCTGCTTTCAACTACCTGAAGGGGGATTCCAAAGAGGATGGATCTAGACTGTTCTCAGTGGTACCAGATGACAGAACAAGGAGTAATGGTCTCAAGTTGCAGTTGGGGAGGTTTAGGTTGGATATTAGGAAAAACTTTTTCACTAGGAGGGTGGTGAAGCACTGGAATGGGTTACCTAGGGAGGTGATGGAATCTCCTTCCTTAGAGGTTTTTAAGATCAGGCTTGACAAAGCCCTGGCTGGGATGATTTACTTGGGGATTGGTCCTGCTTTGAGCAGGGGGTTGGACTAGATGACTTCCTGAGGTCCCTTCCAACCCTAATATTCTATGACACATTTTGAGACGAGGCTGTCTGTAATATGCAGGGCTAAAATCACAGTTTGGTTGTGTCTCGCTCTTTACCCAACGCAAGCCATATGCACGTGGGCTTACTAGGCAGTATAGACATACCCAGAGTGAGCAACTAACAGGTTCACAAACTATTTACAGGGTAACCTGTCGAATCCCTATACTTTTCCCTATGAAGTGCTTGCTTCACCTCCACTTGACACCAAGCTCCAGATCTCGAGTGGAGAATTACAGCCGTTAGATGTTCATTCGCAGGCTGGAACGTTAGCAGCTGTTCCATTCAGAGCCGGGATGTTATCCAGGACACGTTCCTTTCTGTTCTCCTCCCCGCCACTCCTTCAGAGGCAGGAAAACCATTCCCTTCTAAAGGCTTTTATATCCTAATAAACGCCCGGACTCTGAAGGCACCCAATCCATTTACGGAGGCCAGAGTGAAAACGGAGACTGGCTCCCTTTCTCCTGTCTGCTTTAGCTCAGGTGACGGGGGGGGACGGGACCCGAATTGAAGTAGGGCCATTAATAGGTTTAATGACCCCGTTTTCCCTTGATCTGGTAGGGCGGGGGAGTGAATCATGTCGCTGTAAACTCACTGTATTTTCAGTCAGCTGCCTCTGCCTTGCTCGTAAAAGGGGCTGCGGGGATCTGCATTTTGTTTCAAACCTGGGAAGCTACTTGTCTTTGACGGGAGCCAGGGTGAAATGGATGGACGCTGCGCACACCACGTGCCGGAGCTGCCATCTCCACGGCACTCTGCACTGGGAACCTCACGGGGCGCTAAAGGACTGCGGGGGGTGGCACGTCCAGAAAAGCCCTTTACGTACTGGTTTTTCCCAAAGCACGCTACTGGACTTTTAGCGTGCGGTAGCAGGATCTGCACGGCAGCAAGCTAGTGCACTGTCAATCAAAGTGCTGTGTAGATAAACCCTGTGATAGCAGTTGTGGGGGAGGGGGGAATCCTACCAGGGACCAAGGCAAGACTGTTCCCCCTACTGTGTTTTCAAGGGTTTGGGATCATAGGCGATACCAGATCAGACAATGGCCCATCTAATGCATTTGTCTGTCTCCTAGAGCAGACAGTATCACATGCTCAGAGAGACGTATTCAATCCCTCAACAAGTGCTTTACCCAGTACGATATTTAATATAAGACCCTAGGGTTTGCCCTATTGGTCTATCTAGTGTGGAACCAGGCCTCTTGCTATTATTATTATTAAATCTTTATGTTTTATTAGCATCCCAAGGCCCCAGATGGGAAGAGGGGCCCATTGTGATGGGTGCTGTGCAAACACCAAAAGAGATCATCTCTTCCCCGAAATGGCTATACTGGCCCCCACATCATTGATCTGTTCCCCTGACTGTAGTCAATACACAATGCTTCAGAGGAGCTGAAAAACCCGAACCAACCCATGATGTAACAGTCCCGTTGTGCAGCGCCTAGCAGATTTCTGTCCAACCCCTCCGGTGATCGGTGTATATCCTGAAGCCCAAGACTTGATTATCCTCATCTTAGGGTGTGTAACTGCAAATGAACTAAGTGATCTCCAGATCCCTCTGTTGTCTCTTGTCTTTTACTTGGACTGTAAGAGGTCTGGGGCAGGAGCCATCTTTTGGTTCTCTGTTCGGGCAGCACCTCACACAGTGCAGGGACCTGGTCCATACCGAGGGTTCTTAATTGCTATGGTAATACAAGTAATAAATAATGATGGAGCTTCCACCTCCTTCCCTTGGACAACTGCCTGTTCCGTGGTCTAGAAGACCTCACTGGGATCTTTGTTCTGATATTCACCTTTGATTTCCCCCTGCTCAGTTTCAGCCCCATGACACCTGGCTGGGTCCTATAAGATGATTGTGGGGGGGGGGGTATCAAAGGCCAGGGCAGGCCATGACACCACCCATGTTCCATCCAGAGGCCCGTCCCTCCCTTCCCCTTTACCCTGAAGCCGGTGGGGGCAGCCCAGGGCAGTGCTGGAGGGGCTGGCCCAGCACTGGGTGGGCCAGTTGGCACAGCTGGGGTGGGCAGGCTGGGGCTCCTCCAGCTGTGGGGGGAGGCTCTGGTGGGCAGGGGTGGGGCCTCAGGCAGAAGGGGTGGGGCCTCAGGCGGAAGGGGTGGGGCCAGCGGGCTAGCCTCCCTGAAGCGGGGGGGGTCACCTCCTGCCCATGAAGCTGATGATGCGGGGGGATGTTTTGTTTCATGTGATGCCCAAACAAAGAAAAAAGAAAAAGAGAGAAGAGAAAAGAAAAGCTTCAGAACGAAAAAGATCAGAGGACTGTGGGCTGCAGGCGTGGCTTTCCCAAGAACATGGCGAAGGGCCAGTGAATGCAGGCAGAAGGCTGGTAGAGCACAGGCCCATGGAAGAAGTGGGGCCAGCCTGCTGCAGGCTAGCATGGCCTTTCCAGCGCTCGCACCCCATCAGCAGGCTGGTCTGTGTCCAACATGGGGGCAGCTTGGCCCTGGCTGAGCACTGGGCTTGGATCTCTGTGGACTTTGGGACAGAGCCGTTTTCCGTTCCGGGGATCACGTTGCCCATAGAAAGGGCTGTGTTGGCCAGGTGTCTTGAATTTGCACCTTTGAGGGAGCGGGATGGATTTTTCTGTTCGCGTTACTGGCAGGTTTGCCGAGGGCTTTGTTGTTGTGGCCAGGAGAGAGGGGGGCAGGTGCTTGGTGCCTAGCAAACAACTGGACGCATGCTTGTTTAACGGGGATTAATTGCTTGGCATGTGCGTCATTCAGCGATCTTGCTGCCTGGCGTTGTCCTCATTCGCCATCCTGCCCTATTATTTAGGTAACAGTAATGCCTATAAGCCGTAATCAAGATGGGTGGGGTGGCCACGGCATGGGTGCTATACAAAACATGAAGCAAGAGGCGCTCCCCCAGGAAGGTGAGAGCCAAAGGGAGGGAAGGGGAACAGCGGCAGAGAGAGGGGAAGTGACTTGCTTGAGGTTGCCCAGCAGGTCTGTGCAGAGCCGGGAACAGCAGCCTGGGCTCCTCACTCCCAGGCCCGCTCCACGCTCTGTGCACTAGCGTAGGGATGAAATTTTCAGAAGTGTCTAAGTCCCACTTTCTGAACCGACCTAGCCACTTAGGAGCCTACATCTCATTGAAAGTCCATTGGCCTTAGACTCCCAACTGGCTAAATCACTTCTGCAAATAGGACTTAGGCTCCAAAGGCCCCGATCATCGGGAATTAGGCACCTAAATAACTTTGATCTGTGCCTAAGTCACTAAGGCACTTCTGATAATTTTACCCCTGCCTCTTAGCAGGAAGCTATCTCTGTTCCTCCTGGCCTCACAGTGAAAGGGGGCTACCTATCTCCCATACATAGGCACCATCATTATGAGTTGCCGGGGGAATGCTCCACAGGCCCCACCCCAACTCCACTCCTTCCCACAAGTCACCACTCCACCTCTTCCCACCCCCACTCCATCTCACCCCGCCTCTTCCCATCCCTGCTCCACCCCCACCCCACCCTGTCTCCCGGGCATGCCCCACCCTTCCTCCCAGCACCTCCTGCACGCTGCTGAACAGCTGATCACTGGCGGGTGGGAGGCACTGGGAGCAAAGGCGAGGAGCTGATTGGGGGGCTGCTGGTGGGTGCTGAGCACCCGCTATTTTTTTTTTCTGTGGGTGCTCCAGCCCTGGAGCACCCACGGAATCGGCGCCTGTGCTCCAGGAGGGTGCTGCTTGCCAGAATGTTATGAGGTTTGCATGGTATTTTCCATAAAAGCAAGTCCCTAAGTCATGGCTCCATGTGAGTTAATTCCCTTAGTGACAGGCGCAGAGCATCTGAGTCAGCCGAGAACTCTCTATCTGAGACCCGGGCAGCCCTCCTGTCCCCCGCACACACAGGCAGAGCCCAGCTAGACAAGTTTAGATATGCACGTTTTGACAGACACACGTCTGCCGAGCCATGCACCATCTACGGTGGCACTTTAGTTTCTTTACTGATCTAAGGCATTGTCTGAAGCGTAAGCAGCTCACGAGTCGGTGAAAAAACCGCAGCTTGGGAGATGCTGGCTTTTAAGGGCATGAAAAACGCATAGAAATGTGCCTCAGGTGACGTGTATCCTCAGGCATAGCTGGAAGAAATATGCATTAAAAGGCCGAGTCCCTGGCAAGAGCGTAGATACACACCCAACTAACCTTCACGCAGGCCAGGAGTTGCTGGGAAGCAGATGTACAACAGTGCCGTATTTCACGCCTATACTATAGCCCCTTCTAGCCAGTGGTCTCCAATGTGCTTTACAAATGCTAATGAAGCCTTAAAACAGTAGCTGTTGCCCTCTAGGCCTGTGCAGATCGTGAAAATCAGGCACAGCAAGTTAAGCGACTCGTCCAATGTCACGGGGCAAGTGGCAATGCTGGGAACAGAGCCTGGCTCCCAGACCTTTCTTTTAACCATTCGACATGCTCCCTCTTTGATATGGGATCCTGACACGCTCATAGGTGTATCCAGCGCGGCGCATGGACACTCACGTTCTGGCACAAGCTAGGGTGACCAGACAGCAAGGGTGAAAAATCGGGACAGGGAGTGGGGGGTAATAGGGGCCTATAGAAGAAAAAGCCCCAAATATCGGGACTGTCCCTATAAAATAGGGACATCTGGTCACCCTCGCACAAGCAGATACGAATGGCCCTTTGCACGTCCAAGCCCTAGAATGCTAGCGGGGTGGATGCGTCACAGCTCCAGGGAGGGGAGGCAAAGGATCGGAATTGCTGCTTGTTTGTGTTCCCAGAAGCTAGAGTATGACTGTATAAATAAACATGAGAACATGGGTGGTGGAAGCAGCCGGCTGCCGCATCCCCTGGTTTGAAGTGGGTTTCATCAGATAACAGGGTTTACAGTTTGGGTCAGTGGCTCTCAGCAGTGCACCCCCACTATACAAATTGTTCCAGCCCCCTTGCATGAATGCCAGGTGCCGAGAGAGCACACAGGCAAACATGTCAGTAAATATTTCCCCCTCGAGCTCCTGAATGCTGGGAAGTTGTGCAGTTCTGAACAGCTCCGCCAAAAGGAAACATTTTAATTCCAGGCAGTTCCCACGAAGGTTAGCTCGACAAATGTTAAGCAAGGAGCCCCTTGTGCCTTCCCTCCCCAAAACTCCACTCACCACCCAAGGTCGGGGCTAGTTTATCCCCTCCGACGTGCGGTAAATCTGACGGCATAAATCATTCTCCTGACACCTGCACTTCCACCTTCACGCTTACTGCTTTGTTTTGCCTTTCGCTGAGAAGTCCGGTCAGGTCCAGGAAGTGGAACAGCTGCGATGGGTGTGTTGAAAGCACATTTCCCACCCCTAGTCCTCTTCCCAGCTCTGCTGTCTGTGGGTGGATATGGCTTTAAGACAGCTATGGTTGATGAGTGACTCTCACCCAGCCTCTGCCCTCTCTGGTAGGAGTTGCCTGGGCAGTCGAGGCGCTCAGTTTCAGAACTGTTGGTTCAAGGGCTTCCAGGGAATCCCTTCCTTTGTCTCCCTTTTTGGCTGATTTGACTTTTAAACCTTCCTGCTGCAAATGAAGGGGGCTGGGTGGGGTGTGAGACACCGGAGAAACGAGCCTCGGCTTAAGAGGCAAAGACATTTCAGAGTTATAAGCCACTCAGATTGCCCATGTTTAGCTGCAATTAGCTGCCTCTTGCCTATATGTCATACAGGCGTTTATATTTGTTTGTGTTCTTCTAAGGGTGGAATTACTCATTCTGCTTGGAAACAGAACCAGCCTGGGGCTGCTGAACTTTGCCCCCAGTGGTCCGGGCCTGGTAGCAGCCACTGGAGTAATGCTAATCTACACCATCTGAGGATCTGGCCCTTTGGTGGGTACAACGGTAGGGCAGAAGACTTGATGAAGGTTGCCTAAGAGTGTCTTGCCACCACTGACACCACGGTTTTTGTGAATGGCACCAAAACGTGCTCATGAATCTAGGAAAACGATTTACTTTGACACTTCGTAGAATCATAGAACTGGAAGGGACCTCGAGAGTTCAGCTAGTCCAGTCCCCTGCACTCATGGCACGACTAAGTATTATCTAGACCGTCCCTGACAGGTGTTTATCTAACCTGCTCTTAAAAATCTCCAATGATGGAGATTCTACAACCTCCCTGGGCAATTTATCCCAGTGCCACCCTAACAGGAAGTTTTTCCTAATGTCCAACCTAAACCTCCCTTGCTGCAATTTAAGCCCATTGCTTCTTGTCCTAGCCTCAGAGGTTAAGAAAAACAAATTTTCTCCCTCCTCCTTGTAACAACCTTTTATGTCCATGAAAACTGTTATCATGTCCCCACTCAGTCTTGACAAAAGACAATTGTTTTTTTCTGTTTTGACTGAAACCGTTTGATGAAATTGACACATGCTCATGAACCGTTTTGGTCAATGTGAATCTCCATCGTTTTGTCAAAAAAAAAAAAAGACGTTTCGGCCCAAAAATCTTCACCCAGCTCTATGTCTTAGTAGTAGAGAGATGAATCGCAGAAGATAAAAATGGGGACCATCCAACAACACTGTCAACATTGGACCATCCAATCCATTTCCTTGTGAATGCAGGATTGTTCCCTGCAGTTGGTAACTGACTGATTGAAATGAAAGCTAAGGATAAACTGGAGATGGGGAACAACTATCTAGTAATGAGATCACAGACGGAGGAATAGTCTCCCAAGGGAAGCAACAGAAGCTGCATTTCTTGAGACAAATTGCTGCAGAACATACCGTGGTCGTTGGAAGCAATCCTTCATTGACCTGGTAATGGAGAGGAAGTTCAGATAGAAGATGCCTATCTCTGATATCTATAATTCAAGGAGCTTCTAGGATTCTAACTTCTATGGGTATGCTTACACTGCAACTGGACACCTGCGGCTGGCCCGTGCCAGCTGACTTGGGCTTACTGGACTTGGGCTAAGGGGCTGTTTAATTGCTCTGTAAATGTTCAGGATCAGGCTTCAGCTGGAGCTCTGGGGTCCTCCCACCTCTCAGGATCCTAGAGCTTGGGCTGCAGCCCAAGCCCGAATGCTACATCACAGCCTAGCCCCACCCTAGCAAGCCCAAGTCAGTTGGCACGGGCCAGCTGTGGGTTTTTAATGACAGTGTAGACGTACCCTGTGCCAAGGAGGAGTTGTTAGCTCATTAGCTCAACAGGTGGGGATGCTTAGGAGACAGATGGACAAGTTGGTGAGCAATAGAGGCCTTCAAAGCCAAAATCTCCCCTAGCTAATTTACCTACTTAATCTAAGGGATCAGTGATTCACCCGAAGAAGTGGGCTCTAGCCCACGAAAGCTTATGCTCTAATAAATTTGTTAGTCTCTAAGGTGCCACAAGTACTCCTGTTCTTTTTGCGGATACAGACTAACACGGTTGCTACTCTGAAACCTGATTCACAGCTGTTCACCCTCTCCTTCCTGGAAGATTCATAGATTCTAGGACTGGAAGGGACCTCGAGAGGTCATCGAGTCCAGTCCTCTGCCCTCATGGCAGGACCAAATACTGTCTAGACCATCCCTGATAGACATTTATCTGAGCTACTCTTAAATTCTCCTAGTCACTTCTGAAAATGCAGACCTACTAGCACATTTGGGGGCCATCAAATTTTGGGTGCATAACCTGAGATTCCTGAAAGGGAGCTGATTTTCAGAAAGAGACTGCCATAGACGCCTAGATGTGAAGGCCAGACAAGGACCATTATATCATCTAGTCAGATCTCCTGCATGACACAGGCCGGAGGACATCCGTGATCTTTGCATCAAGCCCGTAACTTCCAGTTGAGCTGGAGCATGTCTTTTAGAAAGAGACCCAGTCCTGATTTAAAAACGTCGAGTGATGGAATATCCACCTTGTTCCAGTGGCTACTTGCCCTCACTGTTAAAAATGTGTGCCTTATTTCTAACTTGAATTTGTCACGCTTCAGGTTCCCAGCCAGGGGATCTTTAATCTAGCAGGAAAAGGCATAATGAGAACATCCATTAGGAGAAAATTAACGTGGCTCAAACTGCCCCACCAACACCCATGTCCCCTCCCCCCCCAAAAAATCACTAGTTGCTTTTGAAAAAGTAGGCCATAATTTCCAAGTAGGCCTCCATCTCTTTGTTTATCACTCTTAAGCTCCTGGGATGGGCTCAGGGCTGGCTCCTGTCAGTTATCACCTTTGACCCGAGACAGGAAAGAAACAGTTTGTAGGACTGAGCCGCATTGTGGCTTTTGAGGTTTTAGAGAATTAAAACAACAAATTGTCCATTTCTGTGAAACTGACACTTTGCTGGAGCTCCCAGAGGAATCCGAGCTCCCAAGTCAAAATCCGAAAGAGCTGTGGGAGAAAAATCAATCATTTTTTTAAAATACTACCCTCGATACTTTTCCTTCCGCAAATCCCTTTTTGGCTCAGATTTTAACATTTCCTTTTCCAAGTGACACAGAGATGCAGACAAACAGCTGTCTTTTTTCCCACTCCACGAAGTGCAGCTCTCAAGGACAGGGCATTGTACTCGAAACCAAAAACTCTCTCCTCTAGTCGTTTTAATAGAGAGAAATACTATGCTGGTTGCTTAACTAAAGACCTTTCCCAACCCAGCAAATGTTTTTTTGAACTTAATTGGATTTGCTCTCCATATTTCTACAGCTTTTATGTTTCTTATTTTGTGTGTTTTATAGGAAACATCTGTCCAAGTGGGAACCTGCCTTTGCTTAAGACCCTCTAAGAAATTCTGCTCCTAGATTATTGGGATCTCCCAGCAGATCCAGGTTTGTCTTCCATTTTCTATGCCACAGAGGTGGATTAATCCCCACCAGGTACAGGATTAGACCAAGTGGGGGACTGGTGCTGAGGCAGCGGGTCTGGGAGCTAAGGGGGTAACTGCTGGGAACAATTGGCATATGATGGAACCTGCATCTTGAATTTCTTCTGGGCACTAAATACCTGGGATGAAATCCTGACCCCACTGAAGTTAATAACAAAGCTCCCAATGACTTCAGTGGAAGCCGAAATTCACCCCGATGGGTTTCATGTGGTTAAGGAATGGAAGCCGTCTGTTGACGCTTTCACTGTAACTAACTAGGTTGCCAAGAAGAGGGGAAGTGATAAGCCATCCTCAAACAGCTGAAGAAAGCGGGTGCCCATCAGTTTACTGTATCTGCAAATGAGTCTCCGAGGGAATGGTGTCGAAGCTCCTGTTGCTTGAATCATTTAATTTAGATGGGAGAAAGCACTGGAGAATAGACTGCAGGGGGGAAGGAACGATCCAGCAATGGACGGGGAATGGGCTCATAATAATAAATAGTTACATACAATTAATCTACGCAATTAGCATACGTAATTCATCTCGACTTGATTAAGTACAGTAGGCGCTGAGATTTTCAAAGCTAGGCAGAAGACTGAGCCACATAGTTCCCCTCGAAAATATGAACTCTCCTAGCTGACTTTGAAAGTCTCAGACTGGCTTTTCCATCTTTCACTTCTGCAAAACCAGCACTCAAGTGTTTTGTCCCCGTGATGACGAGAACATACGTAGACGGTGCATCTGCCGTTTCCTCCCTCTGAGGCTCTTCCAGCCCTTTGCAAACCATGAATTAAGCATCTTGCACAGTTGCAAGTGGGGGAAAGTTGAGCCCAGGGAGGTGAAGTAACTTGCCCTAGGGTCATGCAGCAAATCTGTGGCTTGAACACAGGTCTCCTGACTACGCTTTTCCCACAGAATCGTCCTTCCTCATTCTCCTGGCAGCTCAAGAGTATCCTCTGGTGTGCTGGGTGCTGTGCAAACAGGTAGCCCCTGCCACCGGAGACCTTATAGTCGAGGTTAAAGACAAGGAGGGTAACACAAGCAAATGTGTCGGGATGGGCCCACCTGCCCTTTTTAGCGCTGTCTTATGCTTGTGAAACCACTAATGGCACAGGCTAAGATTTTCAAAAGTGATCAGTTTTGTGGCCTTGGGTTTTGGATGCCTAACTTGAGACACCTTAAAGGGGACCTAATTTTCAGGCTGCGGGTCCTGAGCGCCTGCTGACAACCAGGTCCCGTTCTGTGCCTCCGCTTTCCCATCTGTAAAATGGGGATAATGAACCTTGGCCACCTTTGTAATATGCTCCGAGATCTACTGATGACAAGCACTAGATAAGAGCTAGATGATATTATTTCTTTCTTTTATTATTTGAAGGCCTGTCAAGTTGGGCACTCACAATCACTAGTCATGTATGAACAATCTTGGCCAGAGCAGTTTTCCTGCAAATCAAAAACAGCAAACCAGCTTCCTAAGGGGGCAGTAGAATTTTGTAGGCTGCTTTATCTGCGCATAAAACCAGTTGCGTGCTTCATCATTTCCACCAGGAACTTTGAAAGCGTCAGAACAAAGTGGTGGCATATCAGCTGTCCCTCCCCAGCCTGCTGTCCAGTAGGCGGCGTGTTAAAGGATGACGAATAGCAGGGCGCTGTCCGCACGTCCATGCGGGAGCTCTAACTGCCTGCTGAGTTTCTGCCTTGCTGTTGTACGATGTTACACGAACATTTTAATTTGTATCTTGAAGCACGGCTGACAAATGGACAGATCTGTTTGTGAAAAGAGGATTGGCTACTGATGATTTACAACGAGGCTTATGCACGCCAGCTCAGGAGTGTTTTAACATGATGGCCTAATGGTTATTAATTCGGCTGGAATTTACTGCAATGCCTTTAATCCTGATGGACTCGTTGGGTATTTAATATAAATATTCTAAGTGCTTCTGTGGGATTTTCTCCTAGAACTTGGCATTTAGCTAAAAGGCCCGTGTACGGCAGCTACTGTTTTGTTGCAGGCTTCTCTGCATTTTCTCCTGTTGGGCCAGATTCTGTGCTGTGTCTCTAGAGAGATGGAACGCACAGAAGGCACAATCCAGGCAGGGCCCACGTGGCTTTATGCCACCTTTGCTGCCCAGATACCAGGCTGCTGCAGGGGCCAAAAGGGTCCCTGGCATAACTTAGAGCAGCCCCCAACTGCTCCAACTTATGGCAACCTTTTCTGGGAAGCAATGCAGCTCAGAATCTCCTTAGCATTAAGGACTACGGTTACTGCCCCTCCTGCCCCAGTGCAGCCTCTGCTCCTGGGCTTGTGAGGATGGCAGTGAAAAGTCAATTACGTCCGCTCTGCACTGCTCTGCTGAGTTCTACCCAGTCACATAATACTCTTTGTGGCTCCGATCCACTCCTGGATCGGTGCATAAGGGTAGAAGTGGGGGTCCGGAATGGGTCTCATTGAATATTAGGGTACAAGAAGTCCAGGAGGGGTGTCTGAATTTTGAACGCAGACCACTCCCCCTAAATCGGCTCCAGGGATCTGTAAATCTGTCCCCCTCTTCATTTGGCCTAGTTCACAGCAGTGTGTGGTTTTACTAAGGTTTTTAATTTCCTCTCCTTTTTGTGCTCTGAAAGTCATTTTTCTCCCCCCCCCCATCCCCCCCCAAGAGCCACCGAATCTCTCATATTCCAGGTTTGCTCTGGCCCTGTCTAATCGATCCTTGATCCAGGCCTTTTCCTCACACAGGTTGATTTTTTTTCCCCCCTCCCTGGCAAGCCAAAGTTCAGCCATGTGTTTCTGTTTAGGGGAAGTTGGCCTGACAGTTCCAGCCCTCCTCCTCGGTGGGAAAGACTGTTCCAAAGGCCTGGAAACGTGTGAAGGCTGCAATCTGACTCCTTTGGCTTCCACTTCCCGGCAGAAAAAGAACCGCCGGTGCCAAAATTTCAACCCTCCCGGGGAGGCTGGAAATATTTAGGACTCCGTCCAAGGATCAATAAAAGAAAGAACAGGCCAGGATTGTTGGGCTCCTTCAAACAATAAATTCCCAGCCCTGGGGATTCAGCGACGGTGAGGAAGGCCGGTCCAGAAGGCCAATGTCGCCATGATTCTTGAGGCATCACAGTCATGCTGGAGAATTCAGGCCCCGATGCCTTAGAAATCCTATTGCTGCAGAAGGGGAGAGACAGGATGTTCAGTTAATGCCGGGTGAGTATGTCTTCCCTATGGACATCCAAGGGCCGTAGTCCCCGGTTCCTACTGAAAGGGGGTAATTAGGTTAACCTCAGGTGTGGGATAGTTGTGGCTCTCTCAGGTGTTCACTCATTGTTTAGCTGTATTAATGGAATGCCTAGTAGTCCCAGTCATGGGGCAGGCCCCCGCTGCGCTAGGCACTGTACAAACACAAATAGTGCTTGTCCCAAGGGCTTACAATCTAAGTATAGCTGGAGACATCATCCTTGTGCGGGTTCAGAGAGCGAAACCTCTCCCAAGGAAAGAGAGGATGGGGCTGTGAGTAGCGTCTCCTCTCTGTATGGGGAATAATTCCCCACTCTTTGCTCTCTGGCTGCAACTGTGGTGTTAGTGGATTGGGCTGGGAGTTGGGAGACCAGGGTCCTAGCTCTGCCACAGACTCGCTGTGTGACCTTGGGCAAGTCCCTTAATCTCTCCGTGCCTTCATTTCCCCCAGCTGTGTACTGGGGATGATACTCGCCCCTTGTAAAGCGAGTGGCTAGCCAGGGATGAATGAGCGCTATTGAGGTACTAAGCTGTGGGAGCGTTTCAGGGGAAGCAGCTGCTCATGTACCTGTGTCTCCTGAGACTCTGCGGCCTGGCCCATCTCTAGCTGCTGGAGACAGAGGAAGGTAAAGCAGAGCAGAGCATGAAATCCAGAAACACTTTTTCCCTGCTATTTCCACAGACACCCGGAGCAGTTGGCATGTACTGGGCCTCCAACTCTACCTTACCTGGCCCCCTGGATCTAGGATTGTCACCAGCAGTCTGCACCAGCCCCACCCTCCCCGTCACTCCAGAACTGGCTTCTCGATTGGAGATGTGTTGTGGCACAGTGATGTCTGGACTAAGAAGAACTTGGCAGTCTAGGTCCAGCAGAGCCCCATCTTCCCTGGTGCTTCAGGTTGGCCAGATCATTGGGATGCTTGCTCTCGAGTTGGCATCTTGGCTTGGTCCCATCTTCCTGGCATTCTAGACTTGCCAGGCGCTGTGTGCATTTGCTGGGAAATAGCAGTCAGAGCTGATGCCCTTTCCTTGGTTCTTCTCATTTGCCATAATTCTGTTATATTTGTCTAAAGTTATGTTCACAGCATGATTAGATAGTAGATGAAAACATACACCCTCTTGCTGGAAGATTGCCATGTAGCACAACTTTATTTCTTAGAATTCAGAATGATAGCACCCAAGAAACCAAAAACAGAGAGAGAGAAAACAGGCTGCTCCCTAAGACGGTGGGGGCACAACTCACCCCACCCCACCTTTCTTTAAACCCGTTTTTTCCAAACTGAATCAGATGACCCAGTTCACATGGATTTTGTCAGAGCGCTGCAAGCAGGACCAGGAAATTCCTCACATGTATTGATCGTGTGTCACTGTTAACCAGTTTCCCAATATGCCGCCTTTAGGAATTCATGTTTACCCAAAATGGGGGGCCGTGAGGCTCCTCCTTGCATCCGGTATGCTAAGGCCCCAGGACACTCAGGATCAGTAACCTGGACTGACTCCATTGTTCCCCCTTTCCCAACTCCCCCAGCCCTGCTGTGTCCAGGCCCTATTCATTCAGGGACTTACACCTCTCTTTCCAGGTCTCTGAGTAGCCCAAGGCCCTCGGTCATTCACTCAAGGAATTGGTCTGAGCTGGGATAACCCATGTTGGAATTTGATGGATGAAAGAAACAAATGGATGGTGATGATGATACATTGGAAACAAAGGACCCTTTGAAACTCCTTTGGCTTGCCAATTAATGTCCCGGTCTTCCCCTTTGACGGATGGAGAAGGGTGACCAAGTTATCTTTCTTCTGAGCTAGCAGCTTTATTCTTTTTCTCTGTGCAATCTGGAGCTCTTTAGCCAAAAGTGAATCCAGCTGCCAGGCAATTTCATCCATTTATCCCGTAGGATCACAGCTCTTTCTCTGTCACCAAACTTGACCACTGTCCAACAGCCCGTCCCCACCCAAACCCCCCGGCTTCTCTCTGTCATTCCCCTGCATCTGTTTGTCTTCCACCCCCCTCGATGTACAGGTTGTGTGTGGTGTGCGCTTGGGCCAGCCCCCTTTCAAGTGCTTGGTTGTGTGTTTGGCTTCCCTTTCCCTTTTCTCTCCACACCCCCTGCCTACCCCTGTTGTGTGCATCTCTGGCTGACCCCCTTCCTCTCCGTCTGTGCTGGCTGAAATGAAGAACGCGGGTCACCATCTGTGACCTCCTTTATGAGCCAAAATTGTTGGGGTTTGGCTTCTGTTACAGCTGATCTAATGCAATTGCTTCCTCCCTGTCCAACAGAGACACCCTGGGAACGAGGAGGAGAAAAGGGGCTTTCCCCAAAACCTTTGAGGTATGGGGCCTGAACGGGTCTAGAGATTAGAATCCAGAATTTGCATAATTCACCACCGGACCTCCTCCAGCTAGGAGATCTGCACCCACGGAGAAATTGACAGGAGTTGGAGGTGAGGCATTGTCAGTGCTTATTTCTGAGGCCTTGTCTACACTGGGCATTTTAGCCTAGGCTGTAGCGGCTGCAATGGAGCAAACCCCTAGCGTAGGCCCAGTTTGCACTACCGAAAATTCTGCTGCACCGCTGTAAACTGTCTACACTAGGGCTTCGCATTGGTGTGTCTTAAATCTCGCTGAGTGTCTTAAATCTCATTGCAGCTATGCGGCTATTTATAGCACACTAGCTCAGTCACGGCTAGCGTGGGTATGTCTACCTGAGCTGGAACTTGTATCTTCCAGCTCCAGTACAGACGTACCCTTAGGCCTGGCCTCCATCAAGTTTTAAGATACACCAATGCAAAGCCCCAGCGCAGAAAACGAGCGCAGGTATGGCCTCCCAAGCTGGAAATTACACATCCAGCTCCCGTGTAGACATACCTTAAGTGACGTGGTACCAGGAGCGCTGCCAGCTTTTTTGCCGCCCTAGGCGGCGGAAGGTCCCGCCCCCGAAATACTGCCGATGACCGGGGCGGCCGGAGATCCGGCCGCCGTGGTCGCCACCCCCCAAATGTTAGTGCTCTAGGCGACCGCCTAGGTCACCTAATGGGTTGCGCCGGCCCTGCGTGGTACCAGAGACAATCAAGACCTACTCTGATCTAATCACCGTGGACCCCAGGTGCGCAAAACCCACCTATGCTAATAGAAGCTAAGGAGAATGAGGAGGGAGATTGAGAGGAAGCAGAGGGAAGAGACACCCCTGAGAAATCCTTTAAAGGGCCCACTGCCATCAAAACCAGGTTGCTCCCTTGGCCAGCTCTCTGTGCACACAACTGGTAAACAGCTGCCGAGCCTCTCCCCAGAGGTGGCTGCACGGCACTGGTGCGCTTCTGAAGTTTACAGCCTTGTAAAGGCGTTTGGGGGCCCCTCTGGATGAAAGGCGCACTGTTAAACGCCAGCTCATTATCACTAATGCTGTTGTGAAGTTCCAAGGGAAACACTTAAGGCCCAGCGTCCTCTAATGACGGGATAATTAGAGAGGCAGCTCAGCTGCTGTAGTTTTACAAGGCTGTGATGAAGCTCTCACAGGGCTGGGCTCTAGCTTCAGGCGGGGTGAGGGAATTGGGTTCTTGCCAAGGAAATGGTGAACGGGAGCCATCTTACCCTGGCTGCTATTAATATTATGCTGCAGCTGTAACAACGCGCATCATTAATAAGAATCCAGCGTCTTCGCCAACCCACCCCCTTCCCAACCGCTCAGGAGTAACCACCTTGGTTTCATGGCCAACTGGGAGATGCGTGGAGGAGAATACATCGAAGGGCCACTTCCACTCTCCCTGCTGGGGTTGCAGCCTTTGCCTGGAGTTCAGAAGCCTGCTGCAGTGCTGGGAAGAGGGCGGCCTTGGGGCGTAGCAGAGCGGAGATGGGGATGGGGCGACCGGGATGGGCTTTGCGGAGGAGGAGAGAGTGGAGGAAAGAGCAAGTGGGGAATTGCGGCGCAAGAATCAGGGTTCAGCATAGCCCTTCCGTCCCCGCCGCCCCCCAACATTAAATAAGTGGGCACATGTTGCTAGACCATCCGCTGTGTCGAGCCAGCTGTAAAAACTCCCTGACACCAGCCAGTCTTCTGCTGACCTAGCGCTGCCAGCCAGTCGGCCGTGGAGCTTTGGAAACGTTTGGCCGTCTCTGCTGTCCGCCAGATGTTCTCATTCCAGGACACTTGGTTTCCAGCATTTGGTCCTGATGTCAGTGAGGGCTTCGAGGCTCGCTTCCCGCTGGCAGGAAATTCACTGGCACGTCCACTCCAGCATGCGCCGGTGGTGCCAAGAATAATACATGTCCGTGCTAAAGGCCTGGGTCTCATCTGAAGACCCCCAAGTCTCATGACAAATAAAGGACTGTGGGAGGAAGGAGACTTAGAAATACTGTTAAATCTTGGATGGGAATATGAAAGAAGCAGGGAGGCTGGAGGGAGCAGCAGATGTGGGAAAGAGACGGGACTGTCTGTCTCATGGGATCCACAGGCAGTGAGAGTTTGAGATATCCATCTTAGGTACTGATATGGCCCTCATCTGAGCGCCTCACAATCGTTAATGCATTTCTCCTTGCACAGTCTCTGTGTGGCAGCCCAGTTATCCCCATTAACCCAGTCACGGAGAGGCTAAGTGACTTGCCCAAGGGCATCCAGGAAGTCTGTGGTGGAGCTGGGAATCGAATCTGGGTTTCCCTAGTTCTAGGCTAGTGCTCCTAATCACTGGACCGTCCTTCCCCTCTTTAACCCGCTAAGGGATTGTGCCTTTGGGCCTAACACAAATGGCCAAAAATGAGTGTTTGTGCCACACTGAAAAGGGAAGCTGTGGGGTAGTGTAAAGGAAATTGAATGTGATGTCAAAGTCCATTGTACAGATTGTATCAATCGCTGCTGATGAAAGAGGGATCGGATGTTTACATGGATAACAAGAAGAGTCGGAGTTAGAACCGTTAATACTAACAAAAAGATGTTGGAAAACAGAGAAACCTCAAGCTTTGGGTTGTAAAGCCATCTCTAAACCAGTCTCTCAATCCTGATCTAAAATTAGGGTGAGGCCTTCATAGGGGGCAGGTTATCCCACATTTGTCTTCTGCAGGATTCTTAGACCTGCCTCAGAGCTGGCATCTGCTGATGGCCACTGTCCGAGACAGGGACTGGATCTCATCCACTCTGGCAACTCCTCTGTACATCTCGAATTCACTAACAACCTCCATTTTAAACAAGATGTCATTCACTGCCTCTATTCCCAGAATTGCCTCCAGTTCGCCAGGGTCTAGGGACCCTGGTGCTGAATGTAGGTACCAGCACAGGGCCCTGGCAGTAACCTATCAGGAAGCAGGATTAGATGGGCCCTGCTGATAGGTCTGGAGATGAGATACCGCAGCAGGTGTGAACACCTGGCTTGAGATGGTACTGGGTATCTGGAGGTGGCACGCCAGACTAGCTGGTCTTGTGGTAGTACAGCAGAGCCAACTTCTGAGACAAGCTCTGGCGCTTACACAGAGCTCTTCTTCGGGTCTGGGAAATGTCTTGCATGGGGAGCAGCTCCCAGCCCCAGCTGAAGACCCCGGCCACTGAAGTTCTACATTTCCCTTTGTTTTAATTAATGAGGTTATTTGCATGGAAATGGCAGCCCTGCTGCTTCGGGGTGTCATCTGTTCCTGCTGCTTATTTCTCGCTTGAAGTAATAATCCTCACGTGCTGACATAGCCGTTTCCACTGCAACTAATTGTGATGGCACATAGACAAGTGTGTGTGTGTGTGTGTGTGAAATCAGCAGTAGGGGAGCTAATGAACTCCACACAAGGATCAAAGGTCCAGCTGTCCCAAATAGGAGGGGGAGAGGACAACAGAAAACATGATATGGAAGAAGAATTGATTCAGTTCAAAGTTTTCTCCATGTAACATCATTGGTTCACCAAGAATAGTCTCCTTCCTCTGTTGCACGGCCCCTCCCTTCCCATGCTCTTGCCACTCGCAGCTTTCTTCAAGGCAGTGTTGTCTAGTGGTTCTAGCAGGAGTTTGGGAATCTGGAATCCTGCATTTGGAGATATATCCTATCCTATCTCCTAGAACTGGAAGGGACC